AAAAACAACTTTTGGTATGTACTTAACTTAAACAATGCTTGACATAATTATATTACGATCACACAAATTGGGATCTTATTTACATGAAACACTTGAATATATATATATATATATATACAACATGCACAAAACACTCAATAAACATAACAACTCACGTCGCCGGTGTCTTTTTTAAAGACCACTGTTATTCAATCTAAGATAAAATTATGTTACTATAAGTGTTTACATGTGATAGTTAGTGCGATATCTGTACTTTTGTTGTAGTTTTTCCCCAGTTTCATAGAATTTTACAGACTAACAAGCCAACAGTTTCACTGCGGCGCGCGGGGATGCCAGGTTCCCCCACCGCTAACACAGCCCGGTCGCGGTGTCAAGTTGGAGATTTCAGCGATTGCAGGATTGCTTGCTTGTGTTTAAATGTTTAAGTCAGAGGCGTTTATGTTTAAAATATTTTAAATCATAGATGTTTACGTTTCAATGTTTTCAATCGTGGATATTTATGTATAACTTGTCACTGCATCTGGCGCTGTGCTAACATCAGGCAAAACGGTAGTCAACATAAAAAAGTAGTATGCAACAACGACATCACATGTAAACACTTATAGTAACATAATTATATCTTAGATTGAAAAAAATAACTTTAGGAGTCATAACCACTGACAGGGAAATGACCAGACTAACATGGGGGGGAAAAGGCATGGGGGGGAAACGACTAGAAACCATCATAATTTGATAATGATAAATTTTAGTAAGACACAGTTCAGCAACCATGCATAACAAGGTATTAGATATATACAGGATGCTCCACTGTAATAGTCTCAACATGCATCCTCTTATCCTTTAGAGCAGATTGTTTCAAAAGATGATAATTTATCTTGACCACTTACCATACCACAGGTGGTCAGCCCTGTAACTTGTTTGACCATGCTAATTTTCACACAAGGAGCCTTAGCATTAGAACGTCCTATTTTACATTGTATTTTATGAAATGCAGCAGTCATCCTATGCCCAGCCACTGTGCTGCCTTGCATTGCCCTCATAGTCAAATTTTTTTTTTTTCTGAGAAAACCCTTGTGTACTTAGACTTATGTGTAACATTATATGTGCAGTGGTAGATATACTTTTTTGCAGTGTTCTACAATATTGCAAATTCAGAAATACTTTCTGCAATTGCTCACTTAACAGTCAGGATTTACAAGTTGAAATTAAACCCATGGCATTATACAGAATTGTATATTGGCAAACATTTTACAACATACAATTTGAAAAATACATGCACACAAAAAAATACTACTTGGTAGTGAACACAAAAGCTCTTAGACACCATTGATCCCCAGCCTGATTTTTTCAGTTCTGCAACATTGAAAATTAATGTGCAAATTGCAGATTACAGGTGGGTATTTCTAGCAATGATGTCACATTGTGTGTCTCTGACCTAGGTTGGTGTTCGTGGGAAGGACATTGTAGTCCTGGGGGTGGAGAAGAAGGCCATCGCCAAGCTACAGGATGAGAGAACTGTCCGCAAGATCTGCTTACTGGATGACCATGTGGCCATGGCATTTGCAGGTAAAAAAAGGCATCCATTGCATGCAGTTTGATGTGCATCTGCTAGGTGGTGTATGATTTAGACAGCCCAACCTTTGTCACAGACAACTGATTAAAGAAAGAGCAATCTGCACTTCATGGAATACAATATTTTGGCTAACCTTGACATCGGCACAAGTGCATTAGAATGCAAATGGATTCATTATCAAGTACATGCAGTGTACATGTATACTGAAAATCAAAGCAAATGCATAATGTTTACCTTCACATAATATGGTCTGCTCTGTTAATTCTGACTCATACACATTCATATACACCATCACGTATATGGTCCGACAGGAGTCTAAATCCCTCCTGCTATAAAACTGCAACATGATGTAACCCAACACTAGTTACCATCATGGTAACAGTCTGGTGCAGGTCATTGACCTTTTTGGTTTGGAGAAGATGAAGAGCAAAAACAATTTGTTTTCCTTCAGTAAACATAAAAAAAGTATGTAAGGTATATCTCTGCTAATGTCTTATTCTTTCCCCACACAAATTCGCAGGTCTGACAGCTGATGCGAGAATCCTGATCAACCGTGCACGTGTGGAGTGTCAGAGTCACAGGCTGACGGTGGAGGACCCTGTAACTCTGGAGTACATCACACGTTACATCGCCACCCTCAAACAGGTGGGCATTCAGACATAGCATTCCTGCCTATCCATATTGTATAAGGGGGGGGAAATGGTCAATAAACTTGCATATTATAAGCAATTACCAGTAAGCATTGCCCCAATTTGTCCCAACATGTATGACCTAGACATTTTTTACCTATTTTGTTCTGTAGCGTTACACCCAAAGTAATGGGAGGAGGCCATTTGGCATCTCCTGCCTGATAGTTGGGTTTGACTATGACGGCACACCCCACCTCTACCAGACGGATCCTTCAGGAACCCATCACGAGTGGAAGGTAAGTCTTTTTACATGGCATTCTGCATATCTATATATTCAGATCAGATGAGTTCTACATGTTCAGAAATGTTTCCCTGAATTTACAAATAAGTTGAAAATTGTTATTGCCTTGTCTTATTATTTTTTGTTTTGTTTGTTTGTTTTTAGGCCAATGCCACTGGCCGCAGTGCAAAGACAGTGCGAGAGTACCTAGAGAAACACTACACTGATGAACTGGCCGATTCCGACGCAGAGTGCATCAAACTAGCTCTTAAAGCTCTCCTGGAGGTAAGGTCTTCCCAAGTGTACTTTAAATGTTATAACGTCTTGATGATGCTTTCAGAGAAGCAACATATCTTGGCTTAGTAATACTAGTGGTAAATACAATTGGTATCATCACTTTGGTAGGTTTATTGTGCATCTTATTATAACATTTTTATTTCTGCAGGTTGTACAATCAGGATCTAAGAATGTGGAGCTTGCTGTTATGAGGAGAGATGAGCCCCTGAAGGTAATAACAGTCAACTTCTGAGTTCTGTTCTTACCACTTTAAGGAAACACCAGCAATATACATAGCTGTATAATTCAAAAGTGGCAACTGCTACGTCTTCAGTGATGATTATGTATTGTCTTAACTAAGGTAGAAAATACAAATTTACCCTACCACATAACCTTGTGATCTGTGTTAACAATTAATGCAGTAGAAATTTGTTCCTATGTATACTATGAAATATGCATGTACTTCTAATTTTTTTTTTGCTGTTCTATACTATAGCAGCCTTCCTTAGAATCATGAATTACCGAATGATATCCAAAAGGTACTTTGCTCTAAAGGTTTTGTCACTTCTTAATCAGTGCTTGGACATTTATGATCCTGAGATAGGCTGCAGATAGCCGAGAATATGGGTCTGCTATCTGCTAAAGATTCACCCTGTAAATCTTGAGGCTTTTTTTCTTCTTTCAGATGCTAAGTGTGGAGGAGATAGAAAAGATCATGGCTGAGGTGGAGAAGGAAAAAGAGGAGGAAGCTGAGAAGAAAAAGAAGTCTAAGACGTCATCTTAAGATGATGACTCTTGCTAGATATCTTTTTGTATATATAGTTATGTTTGGAGGGCCTTGGTGGCCTTGCCTCTGGAGTTCCAGTGATGTGTATCAAGGTCTTCTATAGTAGTGGCAATTTCACCTTTTTTTCAACATACTCAGTCTACCATGTAACATGCTAAAGCATGTAATGAAGCATCACACATTGTAGAGATGACAAATATCTCCATGTGGACCATGTAATTCTGCCAGAAAGTCAAGTTTATACTACAGTAGTACATGTAGGTTCTTCGGTGGTTTTCACACAACAGCTAATTCTAGTTTCTTCGCTTTCCACTCTGTAAACTACTAGTAGATTGTGATAGATGAAGGCAATGCTGAAAGAACATTTCTTGAACTTAAAGCACTTTGTATAACATGCAGATATAAGCCAGACAATGTTATGTACAAACTGGAGGGATGACTATTTGTAGGTCACTACACGTTAGTCATTAAATCATATCAAGTACATAAGGCCACACCAATTTAATTTCTTGGTTAACGGATTCGCCTCTTCATTTTTTTCTGATTTGCAAATAAAAATAAAAATTCAGAATCAACTGCAAAATGCTCATATTTTGTCCTGAACAGTTGAAAACAGTCCTTTTCATCCTACTTGTTACAGTTATTCCATCTTTCAATGCAATGGTATCATTAAAAGTTCAAAATTCATTGTTTAAATTTTGAACCAGCCTGGTGTGTTGACTTCATGGCTCCTATCGTACCATTTTGGGCCATAATAGGATGCCTAGGCCTGTTTTTATTTTTATTTTTTTTTCGCCCGCCCGCTCCATTATTTTTCTGGAAAAATCCGTTAACCAAGAAATTAAATTGGTGTGGCCTAAGTCACTGTCATGAGAAAATTGTATGGTATTTGCAGTTATATCGAGCAAGTTGTCAGACATGTCAATTATTCCACAAGGCTACCATGTGGTACTTCAGCAAACTAACTCAGGACCTTCACTGCAAACTGAATCTATTACTGAGCTTTGGCTCTAAAACATACCTTTCACACTTCTTTAACAGTGTAATGGTCATATAAGCTGTCTTGGAGGCATTAAAAGGACTTGCTGTCACTATTGTGGCCTGAAACATTCCTCAAACACCATCTTGTAGACACATACCAGTAAGGGCAATGTAGTCTGTGGTTAGCTTGCATTGCAGACTCCCCAAGACTTGCTGGGTTCGAATAATATTAATAGCTATCAAAGCAAAAACTGGAACAATTTGAAACAAATGTCCTGCAGTCTACAATAGGGGCTTGTTCATAACATGCTAACATCAGTTCACCATGGACCACATTCTGTGATTGATATTTAAAAAAAGCCAACCTGAAGCAAGGCTGTATTGTTGTGTAAGACTTTGACTAATGCATGGTGCTGGTTTAGTGAAACTATTTACAGATCTGTATGTCACATTGACATTGCCTTTGTCATACTCCATTATTGTGATAAACACTATTGAGAGAAATCCCCTCCCAGCACAGAACCTGTATACATCCATGTGATCTGTATTAGAAATCCTGACACTTGTCATTAAATGAGGCAAAATTGAAAGTTCTTTTTGTTCTTTATATGATATATGATATCAACATGATAGAAATCATAATTGAATAATATCAACAAGGCTCACCCAATCAAAGGTGGTTATCTCAGTTTATTTTCAAAATGGCCTACATACACGTATGGGTGGACCTAATATATTCATCACATAAACATGTAGTAAATTCAGGCATATTTTGGTGGCAGCAAAGACAGTATCAAATTGGCCAGGCAGTATCCATTTGCCACCTCCTTTAGTCTGCAAAGACAAATGGGTACTAGTACTATACTGTCTTTGTAGCCAACAAAAAAAACTGCTTGGAGATTAGTTACGTTATATAAGTATTGATTATACATTTGGAATGCTTTTGGCAAGACAAGCCATCAAAACTTATTATACTGGTTGGTAGAAACTATACAACATGTATCTCTGAACACAAAATTGTCCACAATTTTGCTATCCACAGGACCTTAGGTCTAAGGGTAAGGTTACTGTTACAAAAAACATAATAGCTTTACTTTGCTGGTTTACAAGGAGTGGTATTTTTTCCTTCAAAGACAAAACTGTAAGCAGGTCCAAGTGTCAACAAAGACTAACAAAGTGTTAAGTACATGTACTATTAACCATGATAATCAGAATCATATACAAAAGATATTCCACTATGTACAGCATCTGTATGTGAGTTATCGTCTGTCAAAGCTGCCTGCTCTGTCGAAACTCCCCCCTCTGTCAAAGCTGCCGAAGCTGCCTCCCAGGTTCCCCAGACTGGAGGCCGTCTGTTCCAGGTGAGCCAGCGGCCCTACCCCTGGTCCCGCCGCCATGCCGTGCTGGGACCACATCATCCCGTGCTGACCCCCCGGGCCGATCATCGTGGGCGTACCTGGAGTTCCAGGCGCTGGTGGGCGCACCTGTGAGGACGACGCACCTTGGGACATACCATCCTGCTGCGGGGGTGCCTGGGACGGCCGACGCCCCAGCCCCCTGATATCAGCCAACACGGTCTGCCACTGCGCAATCTTCTGCTGATGTTTCTGTATCAGCGCCTCCTTTCTCTGCAGTTCCGTCCGAAGTTCCTGGATGTCCTCCTTCAGGATCTGTTCGGGACGCTGGCTGGACAGCAGCAGTCTTCTCTGCAGGAAGAAGCACTCGATCTGTTTGGCCGTGTCAAGGAACTTCTGCACATTCTGCTCCACGCTGGTCTTGATCTCGTCCTGTTCCACGATGTTGACGTGGTCTTGGTTGACCAGGGAGGAGAAGAGGGTGTGGAAGGAAGTCTCCAGCTCATCCACCAGGTGTGAATGCTGGCCAGAATGACCACCGCCTGCGGCCATGTCTTTGTTGTTTGCTGACCAATGTACCTGGCAAGGAAAACAATTTAAGCCAAGCGGTTATTTCCACCTACAGAGAGATTTTTTTCTAGAATTTCAGACTCTTTCAACCCCCTTCATATTTTATTGGAACAGCCCAAAATCACAGTCACGCATCGCCCCCCTCCCCCTTTTTTGCCTCGATGTCCAAAAACTGCGCAGAATAGCATACTAGGACGTGAATGATACTACAATATGCTTCTTAAATGTTCCCTTTACCGTTTGCAATGTTAACATGAATCAAACATACGTAAAACAGCTCGAATTCTTGACGATTTAGGCGAGTCCTTTTCTTCTTTGTTCGGTTCTCGGTCTCATGACCTATGACCCATGCAACTGCGCAACTCCCATTGCGCACTTACCTAGTACACAAAAATACAGGTACAAAACACACCTGTGGATCATAGGGCGTCTGAGCAGTCTTACGACGTCGTGACAGGTAATGTTGGCAGTGTTTTATATTTTGTACAGCAGCCATCTATAATAGACCGGGCTACACGATAGGGCAAAGCCGGGAAACGTTTTCAAAGAGGCCGTCTTTTCGGAAGCTCCTGTAGTGTAGGATCCTGTAGTCGTCGGCAAAGCAAAAGGTTTACGTCTTTAACACGATATTCTTTTGGCAGTCGTTTATCCGTCACACAATCTAACTCTCGTGATCAAAAGGCATCATACCGTACGTCCTTGCCGACGTTGAAAATCCTACGACAAAAAAAAATCGTTACTGACAAGGCCACGCCCGCCTTAAGGGCCCCTTAAGTCCCTTGAGGGTGTTTGAATCTCAGCCAGGTTTAAAGGCACGTTGTTGAAGGGCACTCTGCCGAGAACTGTTATTGTGTAGATACTGATATGCACGCTCAGGCATTTGATTGGAACCCATGATCCACTGATGATGGCGAAAACTTTCTCGAAATATGAGCCGTACGTACGTTGACTGTACCGCTAAAATTATACCTCTCATGATCACAGCCCCTTTAATACACATCTGCCTGGTTCTCACGGCACGGGCATTTGTCCCACTGCGTTACTGACTATGTTCCAGAATAATCCATGCCAACTTTCCCCAGTGATTACATCAGTAGGTCTACCGTATAATCCTAACAATCATTCCCTGCATGTTCTGTTTCTGAAGCCATTCTGGATCGAGTGGAACACACGGGTTGTGATGTGAGCCAGAGTCACAGTGCAGTCAGACGATCACCACCATGTCTTCCGATGCGGACAGAATTCTGGGCAGCAGTCTGTCTCACCATCACCAGCCGTTCAAGCCGATCGGCACCCACTCGGCCTCCCTCCTCCGCACCCTCAACGAGCTGCGCGAGTCGGACGTCCTGACAGACGTGTCCCTGGTGGCCGAGAGTCAGACGTTTCACGTCCACAAGGTGGTCATGGCGTCCGCCTCCGACTACTTCAGGGCTATGTTTACCACGGACATGCGGGAGAAAGAACAACAGGTCATTGAACTCCACGGCGTTACCGCCAAAGGACTGAGGTTAGTTATAGAGTACGTCTACACGTCTGAGGTGCCGTTAGAAGAAGACAACGTCAGGGACGTCCTAGACGCCGCTAGCCACTTACAAGTCCTCTCCTTACTGGAGAAGTGTAAAAACTTCATGCTTGCGAAGCTCAGCTCAAACAACTGCCTGGCGATGGCCAGACTTGCAGAAGCGATGAATCTGGACAAGATCGAAGCGGCTGCGAGAAGGTACTGCCTGCGCACGTTTGGACTTGTGATCAAGACGAGAGACTTTCTAGAATTGCCGATAGACAAGTTGTTGCCCCTTCTTGAAAGCGATGACGTGCTGGGCTGTACGGAGACGGGGCTGTTCCAGGCGGCGCTCAAGTGGTTGGAGCACGACCCCAGTCGGCAGGAATATGCGTCACAGGTCAGTATCTCTTCATATTAGCACTGCAGCTAGCTGATATGGAAAATGATGCACATATCGCTGCTGTCATCATTAGAATAGATAGGTTTCATGTAGAACATGTGTTTATTGATAAAGTTCGAGAGAAATGATAACGTAACGTTTGCGACTAAAAGACGGTAGCCTTGTTACTACTAAACCTATTATAGCTCCCGAGTCCTACACTCCTACAGCCTCTCTGCAAATATTTGCGGAGAGGATGTAGGGCTCGGGAGCTATAATACTGAGGTCTGGTAACCAGGCTAATGCCACTCCATGTGTAGTATCAAGACAGAACACGCGTAGCATGCAGTCACTGTATTTATGAACAAATTTTAAAACGTGCCCGATTCATGCATGTATACTCTCAGATGAAGAGGAAAGGGTGATAGGTCTAGGGTGCTTTTACGCCAAAAAGCAGTTACTCAAGCAACTGGATATGATTTTGAAAACGTCAGACGTTACAGCTAGTATCCACTAGCCTCTGGTCTCTCAGTCACTGACGAAAGCTAGTGGATACTAGTACTAGCTGAAACGTCTGACGTTTTCAAAATCATATCCAGTTGCTTGAGTAACTGCTTTTTGGCGTATCGTATTACCTGGATGTCTAACCTTCATCGCATATATCGACGTACTTAGGGTGCTTTTGTTCACCACCACGACTCATAGTTGTCCTACCTCCTAGCTGATGTCCCGGGTCCGGTTCCCCCTCATGCCGCCGGGAGATCTCGTCCGTTACGTCCAAAGTCACGCCCTGTTCCAGACGGACGGAGACTGCCAGGCGCTGCTCCTGGAGGCGTCCCGCTACCACAACTCCGTCCTGATGCAGCCAGTACTCCAGTCCACACGCACACAGGTCCGCACCAGCCAACCCACCCTGCTGGTTGTAGGTAAGTAGGGCAGATTTTTTTACGTCTGCTACGTTTTTTTTTTTCTGAAAACGTGGGGAAGGAGTGGCGTGGACGCACGTCACTCGCACGGTTGCGCAAGGTGTAAGAGTGTGGTCTGACCGTGAGCGGTTTCGTGCAACGTACGTTGCCCAAGTGGTGAGTTGTACGTGCTTACAACGTACGATCTCTGTGCGATTGCAACTTAACCGTAAGGAGGCCGTACTCACACGTGCTTCTTCCGTATGGTACGTACGGGGCACGCGCGTCGCCCGTACTCGCACGCACGGGTGGTGAATCCGCAGACCGCACGCAGAAAAAGTTTTACATGCACTTAAAGTTCTACGGCGTGTCTGCGTGCTCCAAAATCCGTAGGATTCCGCACGGAGGCGGCACTCACCACGCACGGATGCCCTACGTTTGCCCACGTTTTTGCACGTACGTAGACAGCACGCAGAAGCACGTACGGCGGGTTGTGACCAGGGCTTTAACGTCTGTATAAGTTATAATTCAAGTTGAACGAACAAAGGGTGACGACAATGTTTTTATACAGGTGGGACCAGAATGCTATCCAACGGTGGAGTGGACGCGTCCAAAGACATCCTGTGTCACGACCCGAAGACGAACAAGTGGAACAAACTGACAGAGCTGAGCGGGAAGCGGAGTCACCACTCCGCGGCCGTGCTGGGGAACTTTCTGTACGTGGCAGGCGGACAGGACAGGTGGCCAGGCCCGAGGAACGGCAAAAAGAAACCACAGAGCTCAGTTCTTAGGTGAGAAACCAATTCTACACATATATATAAATCTTATCTCTTTTGCTTGTTCCTATTTTCTAGTATCTTCTTTTGTTTCCTGTAGTTCTTTACTTTCTATTAGTCGATAGTGCTTCCGTTTAGTTTTATGGTGATCGTTTTAATTTCTAACGAATTTTATGTCGTTAGTACATTTTACATATATATTATTATATTTTATTACATGAAATTATTACACTGTCTACATGTTTTTGGTTTTTTTGTTTTGGCTAATCTTCCTACGTTGTACGTACATTTTCTTTGTTCTACATGTACATCAGTCTCTCGGCCCACTGAATATCTAAGTTAGATTTTTCTTCAACTTGTTGGTTCTTGCTCCACAGGTATGACCCGGTACATGACAAGTGGTTCAAAATTGCAAGTATGAATCAATCCAGGATGTCCTTCTTCCTCGGCGCGTCGGTGTGCGGTCGTCTGTTCGCCGTCGGCGGTATCGGGCCCGAAGGTCGGCTGGCGTCGGTGGAGTCGTACGATCCGGAAACTAACGAGTGGTCCTTCGTCACCTCCATCGGCGAACCTCGGAGCGGACATGCAGGGGCCGAACTAAGGGGGAAACTGTAAGTAAAATCTGGATTAATATCATGATCATCTAGATCAATATCTAAACTTTATAATATTCTTTTCATGCCTACCTCAAACACACATGCTACTGGCCATCATTACGTTTCCTAACAGTTGTTTACCATTCCAATCAGACATATCATCGGGAGCTGTATTATATCGTCAACGCACAGTAATTTTGTCGGGCTGAAAAACCGCCGCAAACTACATGTATACACTCAAGCCCATTCTTGTATACTTTGTAGGTGTCGTTCTTTCGTCAGCATGACGACGAGGACCGCTTTCAGACGAACGACACCTACAAAGTATATAAGAATGGTAAACAACTTGTATAAAACAAAATTCTTGTATACTTTTTGTTTGTAGGTACATCAGTGGAGGAGGCACAGAGTCTATGGGTGTAGAGAACACCGTCCTTGTCTGCGACCCTTCCGAGGACCAGTGGACGGGGAAGGCTTCCATGTACGCGCCGCGCGACGGCCACCAGATGGTGTCTCTACGGGACCGACTCTTCGTCTTCGGCGGCGTCCACTACAACGGGCACGGCCAGCTCATCCACGTACACAGGACCGAATGTTACGACCCGGACTCAGATCAGTGGACTAACGTGAAGATGATGCCATTCCCTCAGTGTTACGCGGGAGCGGCTGTGGTGAAGCATCACATTTTCGTGGTCGGGGGTTTCTCCTGGCTGAAGAGGAAGTGTAGTAAGAGCGTACAACAGTATCACGCCCTGCATGACAACTGGGTGAAATGTCCCGATCTTCCCGAGTTTATGGACGGAGTGGCCTGTGCCACCTTGTTTATCCCACCCACTAGAAAACCAAGTAGTACCTGGTGATACAACTGGTAAAAAGGTAAAGGTATCCCCAGACTTTTAGGGCCTTAGGGGCAGTAGGTTGTTGATCGGCTGTGTCTAGACTGGGTCCAGGTTACGGTATTGGAAGGCAGACCCATGCGTCTCTCCTCCCGTGGCCTGTTACCTCCACAACCGAAGCCAGGTACAATTTTACATGTACACCGGGGTAGAGAGGAATGTCGTGTAAAGTGCAATTCACAAAGGCGCATGCAACCGCTAGCCAAGAATGTCAGAATCGAACCAGCGACCACTAGTGTAGCGACTCGGGCATTCGACGCCACACTGGTAGTGTATTTTGGTAAAATATGTATCTGCTTTCCAATAAGAACCTTTAGTTCATTCCGCCGGGATATCGGCTGAGGGCTCGATTGTTCTGAGTAGTAGTAGTAGTAGTAGTAGTAGTAGTAGTAGTAGTAGTAGTAGTAGTAGTAGTAGGCATTTCGTCGGTCTTTCAAGACCATACTAAGTACTTCTTCTACACCATGCTCAGAGCACTTGAGCTTACAAAGACGTGACGTGACCAATAATGGGCCAAAGGTGATTTGAAGTCGGTGTGAGTTATATCCAAGTTCATGCGATGTTAGCGATAATATTCATTCCAACTAGAAAAGAAATTCAGCCCTGGTCTGTACTTCATGCGATTTATTTAGCGTGATTATATTTATTCCGATCGAAGAGAAAATCTGTACGTCCTACCCTGTAAGACTACGTTATTAGAAATAAAACACGTCACAAAGTTTGTGTTCCTTTATTATAATGTTTTTAATTAAGGGTTAATCACCCGCCCCTGGTGAATATGGTGTGATAAAGCCTTCATCATCATCATCATTCATCCTCCATAGTAGAGGTGGAGCATACAAAGTTAGCTCGCCACAAATGTTTGTTATACATCACAGAGAAAAGTTCATGTCCCTCCAAGCCAGTTTCAGTTTCAATAAAGCCTTGTCAGTTACTATAACCACCGAATAAAGCCACCGAGTGAGCGACATCCGCACAATGTGTTAAACATTGTGCGGATGGCGTTCAGCACCAAGGACAGGTACCGTTTGCACGGAAACATGTTGCGAAGTATGCCTGCAAGCCTGGGGCGTAATCCACCGTTCTAATCCCACATAATTCGTAGCCAGACCACTAACATGCTTCAAATGCGCAACGACATAGAGCGGTGCCGTTTATGAAAAGCGTAACATTAGCTTTATTGGTGCCTGGGTTTTAATGTAGGCGGAGCCAGCTTGCCCAAATGTAACGTATCATGTAGCCCCTTTCCTTGTGAATTTAGCGTAGAACGTCGACAATACGGCATCTACTCACCTCGATCAAGAACATGGTAAGGTTTGGCAAGCCTTTACAAGTTCCTGTATTTCATGGACGCTCTAAAAGCGAGCGGGCGTGTGTGGTGATCACCGTACTATGTTTAACATTGTGCGGATGGCGTTCAGCACCAAGGACGGGCACCTTTTGTATAGAAACATGTGGTGCGCAGAAATGCGCCGAGGTTGATTGAATTAACCCAGGACATTCTACAAAGCTTCTTGAATTAACAGATTCCGACTGCTACACGTCAGTTACAAATACTTTTTGCTCCTGACGCTGTCTGTTTGTAATTTGGAAACAGACTAATGAAAAAAACGTTATTTTTGAGGGGATTGATTCTTGGTGGTAAAGTAGTTGTGGTTATCAGCAGCTGCAGGATAGAAATTAGAGTCAGCTGTTGTGCGCCCCTGTGTAAAAATCACACGTGGCACGGTCCATTCAGTCTTCGTCTGGTGGTGCCACGCAGGGACGAGAAGGAAGCGTTTGTCAAGTTTTTGGTCAATTTTCGGGTTCTAGTTCCAAAAATATTCATTTTGATGTGTAGAAGAAACCCTCGGGGATGTTTCAACGGTGGAGCTGTGCCGTTTTCTGGATTTTTGGCGAAGAAAATACGGATATCCTGACCTGGTGGATTTTCGGAGGAGACGAGAAAATGGCGCCGAGTGGAAGGGCGGCGTGGTCGTGGGGAGGGCAGAGTTTTCACAAGGTAAGACAACAAACCATGTCTACGAATTGATTTACCACAAACTGATAACAACACGTTACGGTATATTCTTGGTAAATTGGACGGATTTTCAGAATGCAACGGCATACTTTCTAGTTTTAGGTTTAAATAGCCGCGGCGACTGTTGCAGAGCTTCTCTTGCTTGTAGTCTTTTCTAAATGTATGTAAAAGACTGCAAGCAAGAGAAGCCCTGCATGCAACAGTCGCCGCGGCTAGTTTTAGGTACGCTTTTTTTTAATTTTTAAATGTCTTCTGTTTTCTTGAATAACACAGATAGGTATTGCTAGTTTTCTGGTTTGATTTTGAAGTGGAAAAAGGGTGCTACTTTGTTTTTGTATAACTGGCCTTTGTTGAAAAAAAAACATGGGTAGAATATGTTTGAGACTTTTCCCCATGGAAAGAAATAAACACTAGTAGAATGTGCCGTTTAATAAAATGCTATTTTAAAACTCTAAAAGTCATAGTTTGGCTAGATATTTCAGACTGGGATAAAATGACAAAGCAGGACTACTTTAATTTGTTGTTTCTTGGAATTGCCAGCTTTGTTCCTGATTTACAAATATTAAAAAGCATGTACATGTAATATTCTGAAATTCATCACCAACACCAAAATGCTCATTTTTGCATAAACAGTATGTTTTGTACTAAATATATTATAGTGGTAAAATTTTCTCAGTCCCTTGATTGACCAGTATAGACAGGTTTGACTATAAGCATAGTGTTTTTCTAGCTGTTACAGTTTTCCATTTATCGATTTTATTAAATCGTGTTGTTCAAAATTTATTGTTTGAAGTTAAAAAGCAGGCTAGTGTGTTGTCTTTGGTAGCATTAACAGCTTTTAAAGGATAGCAAGCCTTGTTTTTTTAAAGCTTCAAGAGTGAAGTTCAACCTAATACCTAAGTATGTCAACTTTAGCTATTGCATATTTCTGTCATGTTGGTACACACATCTATGTGTTACTGGAAGTAGGTTCATGTATATAGGGTGTCTATTATAGATCAAAATTGTATATACATGTGTTATAAGTTAGTGTAATATTCACCATGACAATTATTTAAATTGTGTTTCATTCATTCAACTGCAACTGTACACAGTACCATTGTCTACAAATGTCTAGCAAGTCTTTCAAATAGTTATATGACAAGTCTGACCTTCTTGGTACCGTTTTTCTCATCAATAAGTTCTAAAATGTTTACTAATATTCTTTTTATGGTCGACTGAGTGTTAGCTGTACGTTTCAAACAGATCACCTTCTGTCATGATTCTTCAAGAATGGCATCAAAAATTTCTAGTCTACAAGTATTTTGGCTTTGTTCAGTGTTCTTATATATATCCTGGTGCCGTCTTTGACTGTTAGCACCTTGTAACTTATTCTATTCTTTTTCCTGCACTCCTGTAGTTCTGATGGTCTGCCAGCTGTGCAGGTGTTCCTGTCCTGATGAGACTTGTGATGACAGATGTACCTGATGATCAGGTGAAGAAAATCAGAACTCTGCATTTTACGTACCATTTACTTGATTATTTGAGACAAGTATGTAACTTGTTATGTTTGTAGTTAGGTGGCTGCTGACCGAATGCAGTATTGGGGATTCCTGTTTGAACCTGACAAGACTGGATTGGACCAGATCAGACCTGGTGATTTGAGGACTCAAAGAAGCTGCATCAGGTGAGAAAAATCTTAATTCCTCATTTTACAAGTTCCATCTACTTATTTGAGACAAGTGTGTAACTGGTTATAAAGTTTGTATACAAGTATTTGGCAAGTTCTTTCTGTTGCTAGCTTATATGTCAGACTTACATTTTAGAGAAATAACACACAGCCTGTAATGCATTGTAAACACTTTATAATAACATTGTTTTTTTCATAAAACAGTGAGACCCCTAAGTTTCTATAGCCATTTAATCAAATGGATAGATCAATTGTGTGATTTTTAAAGTCTTTATAGTCATTTAGTGTTTTTCTGGAGATACACTGTAACAATACTCTTGTACCACATACTAATGATCCTTTCATATAGTCAGGTGTGTCCTGAGGGTCAGCTGTTCTGACTGGGAGAAATGACCGGTGACTCCTGTCCAAACTAAATTAAACCAAACCAAACGAGGGCCCAGCAAACCAGTTTAATTGAATCAAGACACAGAGTTTGTACAGGTGAGATACAGGTTTCCAAACGCTAAATTCACAACGAAAGTGGCTACATGATACGTTGCATTCGGGCAATCTGACTCGGCCTACATGAAAATCCAGGCACTAAATATATATATCTATGTCGTTGCATTTGAAGCATGTAAGTGGTCTGGCTACGAACTATGTGGGATTAGAACGGTCGATTACGCCCCAGGCTTGCAGGCATACCTCTCAACATGTTTCCGTGCAAACGGTACCTGTCCTTGGTGCTGAACGCCATCCGCACAATGTTAAACACACAGTATGGTGAACACTACACACACACACACAAATTAACTAATTATCCTCTCATGTATATAGTTAGGTGTGTCCCAATGTTCCTGTCCTGACTAGGAGAAACCTGTGATGATGGGCGACTCCTGTCCAAACCTGACTAGAGGAGGGCTTAATTGGCAAACCAGTCAACTTCAAGACACGGTGAAGTGAAGGTTTGAACAGGTGAGATAATGTTTTTCCCAGATGTGACAGCATAAATGATGCATCTAAAGCACATCTTTTTAGCACAATACCTGGACTTTCTACATCTGTTTATTGAGAAACAAAGGGATAGTTCAATTGTTAAAGTTTCTTATCTATCATTTAGTGGTCATTCAGTGTTGAATGGACACTGAATGAAAAGTCTTGCATCCCACTAATTATCCTTTCATTACTACATGTAGGTGTATCCTGGAGTTCCTGTCCTGACTGGGAGAAACCGTGCGATGACTTCTGCCCAAACCAGACCAGATGGGCTTAGCTAACCAGTTGACTTGAAGACACAGTGAAGTGAACTCTGTACAGGTGAGGCATTGCTTTAAAACTTACACCTTACTGGTTTCTCTGATGTGACATTACAAGCAACACCTTTAATCACATCACATCATGTTGTTGAATGGCAAGAAAAATCAGAAGTTGCTGATCTGAAAGAAACATCTCGGCACTACTGTCAACTGTCACTGTCTCTGGGAGGTGAACCTGTTCCGGTCACAAGAACAGCAAGTGGCCTCAGCTTTACCTTTGACAGTTAACTATCCTTCCAGGATTCAGGTGAAGTTTATCATTTCAAAGGCCTCCAGTAGGCTACATTACCTGAGACTATTGACCAAGCAAGGAATGAGTGTTGTCGATCTGGTTGGGTACAATGAAGTATGGAATGCGTTCAGTAGCATTACCACAATGTATTTGGAGTATGAAAGGATGCCAGGCAGTATAATTAAAAGATTATCCCCAGAGTGCTTTGCTTAATTGATTTTCTAAAATTCAATAATTCAATAAAATTCTTGATTCAATAAAATTGGTGTGATCATGTTAAATATTTTCTGAGGAAGACCAATTGCTGACTTTTGTTCTTCTGTTTTCAAGATGACATTGTGGATGATCTGGCTCCGAGACCGGACTGTAGCAGGAGGAAGGACCAGACTTTTGTTGGCA